TTTATTCTAGTCATGTTTTATGCTCTAACGTCGCCATATTTTTAAAAAAATGTATTTATTTTCAAGGATCGGACACTTAAAAAAAATAATATTGAAAGGACGAGGATTTCGATGTGGTTCGGACGAGAAAATGATGAGAATGTGGTTCGGACTAGAGATTGATGTGGTTGGCCTTCCTCCCCTCTATAGACACTAGGCAGTGACTTGCAAGCCATGAGGCTCATCTCAAAGTATTTTATGAGACTGGGAGCTTGGAGCTCTCCGTATACAAGAAAACACTGGAGGACTAAAACATCTCCGCCTTCATGGATTTTCTGAGATTAGGTTTTCAAGAATATAGATACGGAGTCTTTCTCTTAACATGACATTTAAAAGTCGACCAAGTAAAATTAAGAATTTTCATTTTTAGTTTTAAAAAAGCGGTGTAAATACAGTTCTTTTTGTGCCAAACATAACCAGCTGAAGCACTATTTACAAGTTTATATAACTCGTAATAAAATTGTGATATATTTTGTTTATAATTGTACACTGTATTAAACCCTTAACCTTGTTTATATAATATAATATATATCCTTGTCTTCCGGCTCCACCCTTGACAAGGACTAGAGAACTAGAATATATAGATAAATCTTCATTTAGATTCTATATCTTAGTTTACACATACTTCTGTCTCTTCCAGACCCATCCCACTTTTTCCAATCTTAAACTTTATTTTTAAATTAAAACAATGTTCCCATCTTCAAACTTCATTTTCAGCTTAATACTTCATTCTTAACTTAATACTTCATTCTCAACTTAATACTTCATTCTCAACTTAATACTTCATTCTCAACTTCAAACTTTATCCTAAACTTCAAACTTTATTCCCATCTTTAAACTTTATTCTCAACTTAAACTTTATTCTCAATTTAAACTTTATTTATAGATTTAAACAATATTCCCATTTTAAAACTTCATTTACATTTCCAACTTCATTCTCAACTTTAAACTTCATTCCCATCTTCAAACTTCATTCTAATCTTTAAATTTTATTCCCACCTTCCTACTTTATTAACTTCCTGAAATATAGTCTAAACTGTCTGAAATATAATTCTATGTTTAGGAAATCCAGTTCTGTTTGTTCTGCGGACACAGAATTTCTTCATAGTAAGTTGTTTATTAACTTTGTTATAACAATTTAAAGTTTAGGTAAAGCATTGTGGGGGGGGGTAAATATTAAGATAAAAAAGATTCAATTTAAAATCTGTCCAATTATAACGACTTTTTTAGTCTTAATGATTATGTATTATTTTTAAAAATTATTGTTTATTTTTTATGTGAATTTTGAGTGTTAAACTTGATATCTACAAATTTTGAAATCTTCGCTTTTAAGTTTTCATGTAATTAATAATTATGTTTCAGAACAATTTAAAAACAACTACTTTTGTTTTATAAATTTATTTTTAAGCATATAAAAAAGTAAACAAATATTTATTTATTATTTTGTTCTAGGTTTAAATGAGAGTTTTAACTGTCATCCCCACTACGAGGGGTGTGAGCCCCCTGAGCCCCCTTGTTCTGCTAGTGCTGTGAGCCCCACCTCCCCTCATAAACATGATAATCCTGTACCTGCTAACTCATTCAGGTCAGCTTCAATTAGTGTTGGGCATTCAGCAAATTCACAAATTTCAAATCCATTAGCGTTAATCCGTATTACAGAATATACGGTCAGAGTTCGGACTTTTATACTTTGATTAAATAAAGATGACTGTTTCTCTCCCTATGCTGTTCATGGCTAAGGAGTGAATGTTTCTTTACAAAAAGAAAATTAAGTTTTTTGTTTCTTTTATAAGATCCCATTATTTCATATTAACTCGAATCTTAAGTCTAAAAATTTAATTTAAAAGTAGTTTTTATTCAGAATTATTGGGACACTTTTCAACTTCGTAACTCTTCTAGTTTTAATTTCACATTCTAAAATACTAAAGCAAACTCGTTCGTCGAATCTGTTTTCCAACTGACCCTTTAAACCTTTACCTGGATAACAATGAGGAAGATTTCGTCATTATTCTATCTATTAAAGTGTTGAATTCTGAAAAACTCCTCCATTGTGTTTACAGCATCTGCTCTTCATTTTTAAATAGAAGCAACAAGTAAAAACAATTAATTTTTTTCAGCCAGAGAATCGTACATGCAACTTTTTAAATGAAGGTTTACGTGAAATATAACGTTTCAGTCCCTTAATAACTGATTTTATTTAGAGTAAAACACTTCGCTGGATCAGTAACCTACTCTGTCTCCGGATTCCTGGCTAAGAACACGGATTCTCTGGATATATCCATCTCCAGGTGCCTCTTCACCTTCAACCATCCACTCATCAAGATACTCTTCCCAGAAGGTAAACCACTCAAAATTGTCACTTTAGTGATTGTAAATTCAACTAAAAGTAGCCTGAAATCAGACCCTGTCACCTTGGTCGCACCAGCTGACCCTTCCCCCCAGAGCTAGGACAACTATATAGACCCCTGCCGTATTTATGTCAGTGTAGCCTGTGTACAGGGTGGGGCAGTACAAACTTGAGTTGAGTGTGAAACCAGACCCATTTTTGGTTGATTGGGGGAGCTAGACCGGCGGCGAAGGGGGGGGGAAGCTGATTATTTAAAAAAAAAAATTTTTTTAGTAATTTCTAAATTTAGATTTTCCACTTTTGTTTTATTCTTTTCCCCTGTTCAGATAAAAGGTAAAGCATGTTTTTAAGCAACCTCCATGGAGAAATTTTATAATTAAATAGAACGGATTTCGTATTGTTAATTTTAGTATTTTCTCAATAGATTTAAATTGAACTCTAACAAGAGAACTTGCTTCCTGTTTTAGACAAGTTAAACTTTGCTTTAACTATTATTTAAAAAGAGCCAGTTCTGGGAAAATGAAGAAATAAAGGATAAATTATAATAATATTATAATCAGAATTTTGAAGGAAATCAACCATGATTTGAGATAAATTATAATGATGTATTAAGACAGCTTACAAGACGTGTTACGTGTTCTTTTTTAGAAAAAAATTCTATTAGAAATTACAGATCTCCCTCAACCCTTCCCATTTTTAGCTAGTGTTTTCTTTTACTATTTTTCAATTCTTCAAGCTTTGAAATTTTTTTACTTTTGATAAAATAATATTTTTTAATTTAGGAAATAGTAAACGAGGTTCAAGACGACCTCCAGCCACTGTTGGAACTCAGTTCAAAATATCATTAGGAACCAGCTTTATGCGTTTATAATTTACAACCAAAGAGAATAGAATATATTAGAGTGGAATTTACTAGAAAAAAGTGTAAAACGGCCATTTTGTTCTACTGTTTCCATACTGCAGGTGTACTTCACATATTTGCGCTATACAACCTTTTGGGCCCTGGAACATCATTTTATAGAAAACCTAAAATTGATATTAAAAGAAAACCAAATTATGAAATAGTCTGGTTTATAATTGACCAATGACATAGACTCTATGCCTTTCACTTTACAGACGATGATTTTTTGTTATAACTATAAATCAAATGATGTTTTTTATTCACCTAATTCATTTTATCAAGTTTATTTAACAGCTTAAAAAAATTCGAAATTGAAATGAATAGTCTAGGGAACATACTGTATTAATGTACTCTACTGCATATAATTTGTGAACATTTACATGATTTGTACACTTTGAGACTGACAAATTTCATACCGAGGGATTCTCTAAATTCCACTCTAATATATATATTCTATTCTCTTTGTTTACAACCATTTTTTTTATATATTCACGAGAATAAAGGACATTTCATAGATACATGAAAATCAAATTAGACAATACATAAAGATAATTCATATGTAATAGACTTCTAATGCTTTATCTGTGAGATGTCTTTCTATAAACTACCTATCTAGGAAATGTCTCTCTGTGAAATGTCTCTCAATGAAATGTCTTTTTATATCAAAAGAGATTTTAAATGTCTCTTTAAAGGGAGTGACCGGCAATATATGGTAGTTGAACTAAAAACGTTTAGGATTCATTTGAGACATATTGTACGTTTTTGCGGTCAATATTTCTTCAGCAAGAGGGCAATTCAATCTTTAAAATCCTTATTTTAGAGGGCTGATTTTGAGATTCGGTTTTTTAAAAATTATTTAATAACAACGACGAAAAATGTAGTAAAAATACTACAGTAAACTAATGAGTTGTTTAGGAACAGACTCAGAAAATAAAATTAACTTTTATCATTGAAATCTTATTTAGTTATAGGTTTCAATGATGTCTCATTGTTTAAAACATTTTCTGTATATTTCCTGAAATTTTTATTGAAAAAAACGAAAATTTTAAGAATTTTAAGAAATCTGCGAACAAATTCGTAAAATAAGAAATTCAATATATTGATGAGAAATAAATAATTGATTCTAACATTGATTTATTCATAAATTTCTACTGAAAAATATGTTTCTTACTATTTAATTGGTTTACTGTAGAAATTTTTTTGCATTTTTATCGTCGTTATTTTATTTCACCCAAATGGATGATTTTGATCGTTAACTTTGCGCTCAAACTCAGTAATTATACATCATTAAAACCTTTTTTTAGGTCTCAAATGAATCCTAAAAAATGTCCCCACCATACTACATTCACTGTTCAACTACCTTACATGGCCGGTCACTCCCTTTAACCATTGAGTTCTAGCATATTTCTATTCATGTCTGGACATACATAGTAATAGTTAGTTTTGCGTGAGTCTCACAGACAACTAAAATGTGCTCGCGTTCACGCAAAAATAAATCAGGAAGTTGTCAATTTTCCTTTTAAACTGTTTGAAATTCCAGGGGTTCTAAACTGTATAATCTAGTGTTACAAAAATGATTGGTAAAAAGGAAGACCAAAGCGTTAATTCACTTTATAGTGTAACACCCGGTCATGATGCATAGTTTGCATACGCTCCTTAGATCTCTATGTAATGTTAGTGTAAAATGTAAATTAACTTTCCTTAAATATCTGTAAATATAAAGTTAAGTTAAGCTAACCAAATGTTAACTTTCTCAACTTTAACTTAATTCTTTTAACATTTATTTAATCCCTAGCCTTCTAGGGCAATTCAAGGAAATAGTTTTAAATCTTTGGAAATTTTAGAAAATAATATTTATAACCGAGAAACCAATGAATTCTAATAAACAAATTAAATTCTAATAAACCAATGGAATTCTAAATATACCAATGGAATCTTGATAAACTAATGGAATCATGATAAACCTATGAAATCCTAATAAACCATTGAAATTCTGATAAATCATTGGAATTATAATAAATCAACGGAATCTTGATACACCAACGGAATTCGGATAATTAAACCAATGGCATCATGATAAACCAATAGAATTCTAATAAACCAATGGGAACTTAATAAAACAATGGTATCTTGATAAACCAGTCGAATTTTAATAAACCAATGCAATGTTAATAAACCAGCGGAATCTTTTTAAACCAATGTAATCCTGATAAACCAATGGAATTCTAATAAAACAATGAAAATGGGATAAACCAATGGAATCTTTAAAAGTCAATGGACTCCTAATAACCAATGGAATTCTGATAAACCAATGGAATCTTGATAAATCAATGGATTCTTGATAGAAGAATGATATCCTAATAAACCAACAACAAAATAATTTTCTCGAATAAAAGCATGATTCTACCGGATGTATAAAACTGGTTTCTCCAGGTGCTCTGCTGAACAATCTTGGAAGTAAAAACCCGCATTTTGTTCGCTGTATTAAACCAAACGAATCTAAAACACCTCGAGTATTCGATCCTTCCCTTGTTCAACATCAAGTTAGATATCTTGGGTAAGTCGGCCAACACCCATACAACCCTAAACCACAGAAAACGGATTTGAAAAAAGAAAGATTTTTCCCAAAACTGCAGTTTGGATCAAATTATTTGACCTGCAGATTTCCAATTTTTAAAAAATTTGGCAACTTATAGTAAATATATAAAGTTAAATCTACCAAGAAAGAATAAATTCTGCCAATTCGGATCTGGTTATGCTTATTTAAAGCTGGGAGAATTCAAGTCTGACGAATTGATTTTATTCATATTTACTATAATAATACTAAATAAGAAAACATATTGGTAATATAATATGTTTGCACAGCGTACATTATTGATAAACCCTTTCCATCAAATGCCGTCTCCCTGTTTCAATTTCTTATGGTGCACAGTAGAAACAAAGAAAACTGTTCAGGATTCTTGAGTTTACTCGATTGCGGTCAGCTGGGTTTGTAGTTCGTGAAACCTACACCAGGTTCCTGGATCGGTATAAGATGCTTTCTACACACACCTGGCCTTCATGGCAGGGAGCTCCTGTTGAGGTTATCCTTAAATCTATATCTCTTTATACTTTGTTTGTCTGTCTGTCCGTTTGTATCCAATAAACGTCAAAACGACTGAACCGATCGGGTCAAAATTTTGTGGAACTCACACGACCCCAGGGATGGTTTACGGATGGTAAAAAGTAAAAAAAAATCTAGGAAAAAATCTTGAAATTTTTTATTTCTAGAAATCTTTCGATGTTTATTGGAAAACTAGAACAATTTTTAGTTTTTAATTCAGAATGGAAAATGGTCACTTGGCAAGCAACATTCAACCGCTTGAATAGTTGCTAAAGAGGGGCGCGAAGCGCCCTGAAAGCCTAGTGTAGTGAAATGGTCAGTTTAATCGTATTTTTATATTTTTATATTTCAAAATATAAAAAGAAACCTGTAAAAAAAGTTTTATCATAACAATTTATGCTTTGCTGTAAATATCTAATTACCTGTGGAGATTTGAGAAGCATAAAAGATTTTCCTTAAACAAATTTTTCTTTAACTTAATAGTTTTATAATGAACTTATTTTAAACATTGTTATTAAATCTGTAAAAATATTTTAGAAAAGTTAATATCCCAATTCTTGAAAATTGGGTTCAACATTGTTTAGTTTTGTTAAATGATTAAGTAATTGATTGTTTACTTTGATTGATAAGTTAATTAATAAAATATCTTGTTTGAATAAATGATTGCTTGAGTATGATTGTTGGATTTTTTTATTAATTGAAAAATGATTTTGCAAGATGGGTTTATTTATCGACTAATTGATTGATGTTTTAATGATTGATTGCTGTGTATCTAGGGAGTGACCTGCCTGCTCCGTGAGCTACCTGTAAGCGGAAGTGAGTATGTGCTGGGTAGAACGAGGATCTGTATCCGGAGTATCAAGTGTGTAGATGAACTAGAGAACTGGAGAAAGGAGAGGGTGGATGAGTTGGTCACACTCATCCAGAAGGTCTGGCGGGGGTTCATAGCAAGGTACTTTATTCAATATTAGCTTGGGAAACCAGCGTTGCACAGGGTTCTCATAGTTACTTCCGCCGTTTACCCGCACTTAAGACAATTTTTACCAGGAAAGTAACTGTTCGCAATAAAAATCGACCCCCTCAGCGTAGAATCTCAAAACCAAACTAAGAACATTCCAGTGTTTTATACCCTGTGTTTTATACTCTGTGTTTTATACTCTGTGTTTTATACTCTATGTTTTATACTCTGTGTTTTATACTCTGTGTTTTATACCCTGTGTTTTATACTCTGTGTTTTATACCCTGTGTTTTATACTCTGTTTTCTCCACGATCATAGCAACTCTCTCAGACAAATGAATCTTTTATTCAAGAATAGGATTTATTGACATAATATTGGCATTTCGTTTTGCAACCGCTCAATATCTATAAAAAGGGGGGGGGCAGTTTAAAAATAAATGAATCATTGGATTGCCCCATAAATAAATTACGTTCTTTTTCCATAGGAGTGGGCGGGGAGGTTCAATCCATGCATTTAAAACTAAACATTAGACACCAATTTTTAGAGTATAGATCTATTAGAAATTTTCCAGAACTTAAAAGCCAATCTCAACGCTTATAGATGTTCCTCAGGAGCGGGACCATAGAATACTTTGGATTTTATCCAAAAATGTGGTTTCTTCTTTGAGCACTATAAGATTAGCCTAGTTATGTTTGTGTGTCCCTGATTTTTAAATCCCTTTTTCAGGCGGAACTGGAAAAGATTACGGGAAAGTCAGATTGTGATATCGTCGTATTGGAAGAGGTGGAAGGATAAGAGTCACGTGACCGAGCTCAAACAGCGTAGACAGCAGGAGTGGGCGGTGGAGATCATACAGAAGCACTACAGAGTCTGGCAGGTCAATAACTAGTTATAGTTAAATTTAAAGGAATATTTTTGAAATTTCATGTGACCTTTCACTTAAAGGACCTATTTACACCTTAATCTGCACAGTTTTGAATATATATCTTGTTTCTGTTGCAGAAATCCGCAATTCACTTAAATATTTCGCTCGTCGTCAAACATCAAACATTTGTTTAAAATTGAAATCGTCTTATACGTCTTATTGTCTTGTTACAGACGAAGAACAATTTTTCAATTAAACCCTTTCTCAGTATCTTTACAGAAAAAGTTTGGAACTGGACTTGGAGCACTCGTATTAGAGTTGGTCTTCATCAAAATTCATTAATTTAGATTGTCTAAGATTTCTGGCTTTTAAGACGCCGCGAAAAAAATTTGCGAAGCCGATTATGTTATTCAAAATTTTATTTTCAAAATTCAAAATTTAAATTCCAAAGTTCAAAATTAAATTTTCTATCAGTTTTCTTTACTGAAATTATGAAAAACTTTGACTCTAACAGAAAATAGAATATATATATCTAAGCCTTATCATCGTTGATTTTGCTAATAAAAGTTATGAAAGCAAACTTTAAGAGAATATAATTTTGAAATATGCGAAACTTCCTAGGGTTTTAGTGTTGTCTCCTAAAAGCCTAAAAATCCTAAAAACTCAAAAGAAAATGAAGAAAAAAAATATGACCAACTCTTATTTGAATCAACAACACGTCTCGTAAAATCAAATTTCTTACAGTATATTTATTATTATTTTTGTTATAATAAGCTATAAAAAAAAGATTTTTTTTTTTAATTGTATTCTTTTTTGTTACTTCTTTAAAAAAATGTTTTTTTTCTATTTTGGAGCGTTTTTTAGAGTTGAATACAGAAAAGCAAGAATATGGCCGAAATTCGTTTGCCACTGTTTTCCAGATAAAATCAAATCAAATTGCTTAAAAAATCCGTTTAACCATCTTATTTTTATAGAGGAAGAGATGGTTGGTGTACCTGGCCCACTCTCTCCCCTCGGAGTCCCCTATCTCTAGGGAGTGGCCGAGAGCTCCTCATTCTCTTCGAGAAACTAGCTTTCTACTTCGCAAACTATATCATAGATGGAGGGTCAGTATATTTTAATGCATTTATTAATGATTTTATATTGTAAATATTTACCCCCTCCCCATGGCAAGGGGAAGGGAAAACTTGATTTTGAGGATTTAAGAAAAAAAAATAAGAAAAAAGTAATGGAGGTTCAGTACATTTTTACATTTAGTAATGGCGGTTTTGTACCTTTACAGATTTAGTATTGGAGGTTCAGTATCTTTACAGATTTAATAATGGAGGCTCTGAACTTTACACATTAGCAATGGAGGTTTAGTACCTTTACAAATTTAGTAATGGAGGTTCGGTACATTTTACATTTAGTAATGGAGGCTCTGTACGTTTGTACATTTAGCAATGGAAGTTTAGTACCTTTACGCATTTTGTAAGGGAGGTTTAGTACATTTACAGATTTAGTTATGGAGGTTCAGTACATTTACAGATTAAGTAATGGAAGTTTAGTACCTTTACAGGATTAGTAATGGAGGCTCTGTACATTTACAGGATTAGCAATGGAAGGTACATAATTATATTTACAGACAATTGTAATGGATGATTAGTTCAGTACCTAAACAGAAGTTAGGATTTTGAAGAATTAGGATAGATCTTTATTAAAATATTCAAAAGAATTAAAGATTTAAAGCTGAATTTTTTAAATCGTTTTGAATTTATTGGATATTTCTTTGAAAAATAAAATTAATCTGAATTTTATAAAATTAATCATTTTCAGTGCGAGAGGTTTCGTGAAAGATTTGATCAAACTTCGAGGAACAGAATGCGGGAAAAAGTGACGGCTAGTCTCATTTTTAAAGAGAAAAAATCATCTTATCCAAGGAGGTAGGATAAACTTGTCATTCCTGATGCTTCAAATAATATTTTAAATTTATTTTTCAAACCTTGATCTCAGCACAGGGTTACTCACTAAGGATGAGAATTAAATGAATTGACGGGTATATTTTTACACTAAAAACGTGTGAATAGTGAAAACTAATAATTGAACTTGTTATGAATTTAAAGACGAGAAAAAAACTGCAAGCTTCCCTGAAGTCTCATCCTTTTTGGTATCCCTGTACCAATAAATTTAGTTTAAATCTATTGATTTTGATAACTGTTTTTAAGTATATCCTTAGGGTTGTTGTAATACAGAAATTTAGAAACATTGAAAGAATAAATAAAATGTTTTTAATTCAATTATTATATGGAGCTCTTAGAAACTGTTTCCGCATATTTCATGGCTATTTATTTATCTCCGATGTTCTGGGTTTAATTGTATCTTAAGTATAAACGGTTGTTAATGAACGGTATTAAACGTTATCTCTCATGTCAATAAAAAAGAAAAAGACTTCGTTCAGTATTTATAGCAATTAGCATAGAGTTAAGCTTTAGTGTACCGCGGAAAGATTGTCGATTTTGTTAAATCTTTTAAAACAAGAATGCCAATGAAGATTTTCAGTCTAAATATTTTAAAACTGACATTTATATTCTAGAGAATGTTAGAAAATTACAAAATTATTTCATCAAGCAGTTTTAAGATATACAAACTAAAAATGACATGTTTGATGCTAAATTTCCAGTTATGAATATCACATTATGCTTTTATAGTTGCACAGTCCCTTTAAAGTACTTTAACCAATCAACATTCAGCGTGAGTGTCCGGTTTATGGGAGACTATGTTGGACTACGACGTAACCCACAATGGAAAGATGTTTTAACAAAAAACTCTTTACATAAAATGGACAGATATGTCGTCTTTGCAGATATAGTAAATAAGATCAACAGATCTAACGGCAAGGTTGGAAAACTGAGAGAAACTAATCCAACTAACAAATATGAATAGGCATGGTGTTTGGGTTCGGAGTAAACATTCTAGGTTTTTGAATTTTAAAGAGGCTTCACACCAGTTTGATATATTTCATAAATTATAATCTCTACAAGCTTGCATTTCTTTCATTATACCAAAACAAATCTTTGAACCATGATTTAAAAACGTTTTTTAACCCGATTTTTACAATTGCTATGGATATCGTTGTCTTAGGTAAGAGTAAATACTTTGTACAATTATTAAAAGCAAACTTATGTCGAACATCTTGTAAAGTTTCTTTAAAAGAAATAAAACCATAAATGTCCAAAGAGGATATCAAACAAATGCCTATTCTAATAACAAACAAATATTTTTATCAGGAAGCCTCAAAAATAAATTAGTGTACTGCAACGCATTTACATCTAATTTACAAACAAAATGTAAACAAACTCAGTCCAACTCCAAACTAAGATTGCAGTTTGCATTTTGTGTGTACACAAGTTTTCACTGGTTCCTCCTCAGAATATTTTCCCCATTAACATCATCTGTACGGGTTGACTAACATTTTTATTTAAAGGGACTGTAAGCGTAATTCCAAGTGGCGCTCCATGTAAAGATGGCAATGTTCGATTCACAACGGTACCCTTAAAACTGCAGGAAATCACATAGGAATTATCAGGAAAAATACACTTCTAAACCTAGAAAAACAATGTTATCTTCGGGTATTGTCATCTTTGCATATAGGGTCACTTAGACTACGTTTACAGTTTCTAATTTGATCAGTTTTCTTTTTAATTTTAATTAATGATATTTAAGAGCATGGTGTGTAACTAACTTTAAATGTTTGGTTTGGTTTCAGTATCTGCCATCCTTTCCTGGGGGACTACGTCAGGTTGAGACAAAATCCGCAATGGAAGAAAATGTGCAGTGAGACGAATGACCAATATGTCGTCTTTGCTGATATAATAAACAAAATAACACGCACAAGTGGCAAGGTTAGACTTATTAGTTTCTTCATGGGTGAGATCTTTCGAAATCAAAAAAGTTTTCTTTAAAATATCGTCAACCTAAACATTGTGTAAGAAATTACTGTTTAGACTTTGCGATCTTATAACCACACGGGGTTTTATCTTATAACCACACGGGGTTTTATCATACGTGCAAAAGTTGGACATAATAATTTTTTGTATTTCTTGCAAGTAACACTTCTGAAAAAGTAGTTGTATTTGAATACGTGAAACTGCCAGTATTGTGTCCTTCCTGACACTATTTAGTGGACGTTCCTGTTTTGGATTTAAGTTTAATAGAAGTTTTGTTTACATTACTTTTCGTTTTATTTTACGATATTTCTTGGTTTTCAAGTTTCTCTCTCCACTTTCCAGAATTAGAATATATAAACTTCTTTATTTCAATCTCTTCTATTCCTAGAATTTCAACATTTTAAATAAGAATTGGGAGCTTTGAGAGGATTATTTTTGTATCAATTTTTCTTTTTTTATAATTTTAAGAGGAATTTTAACAAAAGTGGTTAAAATCCCTGGAATTATTGATTTAATTTTTAACACTAACACATTAGTTTTTGTTTATTTTTTATCAAAATTTTATCTTTTGAGATTAACATCTATTTTTTAATTTATTAATGAATAGTTTTGTTTCTTTTAATGTTTATGATTTAATTTATCAATTGTTTAGTTTGTTTCAATTCTGTTTGTGATCAATTAATCAATTGTTTAGTTTGTTTCGATCAATTTATCAATTTTTTTTTAATTCAGGGGTGTAAATAATTCCCATTTTTGGATTCTCCCCCCCCCCCTTATAAATTTAGTTTGATTACCTTCCACAAATTCGATAAACAAAAATTCATAAATTTTTTTTAACACGTTTTTCAAAAAACTCTCTGATTTTAGATAAAGTTAGCTATATATATATATATAGAGGTTAAGAGCTCCAGCCCTTCCCTTCCCTATATTCCCCTTTCCTTCACTTCTTTATCTAACAACCTTCCATTGATTCTCTACCTTCCCCTTCCCTTCGTTCCGCTTCCCTAACTACACTACTTTCTCCTTCTACTACCTTCCCTACCTTCCCTGTCCATTCCAAAGTTCCCTAATCCCTATATTTCTCTTTCCCTATCAACCTTCCAGTTTCCCTCCCAGCCCTCCCCTTTTCTACTTTTCCTCTTTCCTACCTATCTCCTTCCTACCGATCCCTTGTCCTAACACTCTCCTTCCCTACCTATCCCCTTCCTTACCTATCCCCTTCCCTACCTATCCCCTTCTTACATATCCCCTTCCTTACCTATCCCCTTCCCTACCTATCCCTTGTCCTAACACTCTCCTTCCCTACCTATCCCCTTCCTTACCTATCCCCTTCCCTACCTATCCCCTTCTTACATATCCCCTTCCTTACCTATCCCCTTCCCTACCTATTCCCTTCCCTACCTATCCCCTTCCCTACCTATCCCCTTCCCTACCTATCCATATCCATGGTTCCCCCCTCCCTACCTATCCCCCTTCCCAACCCTTCCCTGTCTTCCGCTGTTAACCTTCCCCTTTTCCCTCATTTTCTCTTTCCTTTCTTCACCTTTTGCCTTCCCTTCCCCTCCTCTTGGGTCTTTGATTTCTTTCCGGGGGAAGGGGGAGAAGAATTTTATACTCCCCTGGTTTAGTTTGTTACGATCTTGTTTGTGATCAATTTATCAATTGTTCAATTTGTTTAGATCTTGTTTGTGATTAATTTATCAATTGTTTAGTTTGTTTTAAATCTTCTGTGATCAACAAATCAATTGTTTAGTTTCATTAAATTCTGTTTGTGATAAATTGATCAATTTTTAGTTTGTTTTAACTCTGTCAATGATCAATTAATCAATTGTTTAGTTTGTTCCGATCTTGTTTGTGATTTCCACAAGTTCAATGCTGATCCTAGATCAGAGAACTATGCAGATCAAATACAGGTGAAATTATTAGCGCTTCGTATCTTTTCATTCTTTATTTGTACACAATTTTAAATCATTGGATTGTCGGATTTTTGAAAAAAAAATGTCAGAATAAATTGACGGAAAAAAGTTTTGGACGTTTTCAGAAAAATACGTTGCTTTATATATACACTTACACTTTACAGTGATAACCAGAATGTTCTGAAATAGGAAGTCGACTTTAGACTTAAGTTATGACTTTAAATAGTCCAATGAACTTGAGATACAGCAATGCAACCAGACCCATTTAATAATTTGTTAGTAAAACTATTTGCTTTGTAACAGGAGTAACAGCATCAAATGCACTTCAGTTTAATGTCGTCTTCCAATTCAACAGTTTTCTTGTTATAACTGTATATTCCGGGCTATCTTTGAAGAAAAAAATAGGCAAACATTTTTTTTAAAGGGAGTGTTCGCGAAAAATGAAAGGGGGTATAGGCTAATGCGATAAAAAAGCGCTTTTGATCGCTACTAATCTTACTTCTATCTGTTGCGTCTATAAGGAGAAAATTGTTAAAAACGACTAATACCGAAGAACGTAGTGTCCATACTCCATACAAATTCAGAAAGATGCAACATACGACTTAGACCGTAAAAAAATCTATTTAATTTCAAACAAATCATTCAGATATTACAACCTATAGTCATCGATTAGCTTTCGCCACATTTGTATATAGTTGATTTTTCATAATATGTTTTGATTGTTATGATCTGAGAGTTATTTATAAAATCATTTATTCCTGTTTCGAAGATTTTTGGTAATGAAGACGACATTGAAAAAAATAAAAAAATAAAATCAGAACATATTATGAAAAATCAACTATATACAAATGTGGCGAAAGATAATCGATGACCATAGGTTGTAATATCTGAATGATTTGTTTGAAATTAAATAGATTTTTTTACGGTCTAAGTCGTATGTTGCATCTTTCTGAATTTGTATGGAGTATGGACACTACGTTCTTCGGTATTATTCGGTTTTAACAATTTTCTCCTTATAGACGCAACAGATAGAAGTAAGATTAGTAGCGATCAAAAGTGCTTTTTTATCGCATTTAGCCTATACCCCCTTTCATTTTTTGCGAACACTCCCTTTAATTGGTTGATTAAAATATCTCCTTTTTATTAGGGTGCCGGCAGGTGAAATATTCAAGCTAAGCTTGAGTCCATTCTTCGATGATATTGCAGTCTTCCATGTTAGAGCAGTGAGTATAATTTTTTAGATTTATGTTTTGAAATTCCTGTTAAGGTTTTTTCAAAATGTAGGAGGTAGCAATTAATGTTAAGAAGATAAAATTTTTACCTATTTAATGTTAATAAGGAAGATCAAAACAGAAAAAAAGATTTTCCCCTTAACCATAATCCAAAAAAGAATTTGTTTCTGTATCCTACGACTCCGGCCGCCTCTGCCCCCCTCCCTCTCCACCAGTTGTATTTGTATTATATCTGATATTATACTAGAAGTATTCTTGTTTACCCTTCTTCCAGCTTTAATAGTCAATAGAATAGTAATACAGTACTTGGAGTACTATTTTTCTTTTACTCTTATACTAGATTATTATATATAAGTATACAATACAGATTTAGTGTGCACCTTATAAGCTACCACTCTAGTAACAACATTTTTTTACCTCATTATATGAACCACCCTGTCACAGATATATAGAGTATACAGCTATTTAGAGTATACTGATATAGAGTATACAGATATATAGAGTATGCAGATATATAGAGTATACAGATATATAAAGTATACAGATATATAGAGTATACAGATATATAGAGTATACAGATATATAGAGTATACAGTAATATAGAGTATACAGATATATAGAGTATACAGTTATATAGAGTATATAAATATATAGACTATACAGATATATAGAGTATACAGATATATATAGTATACAGATATATAGACTATACAGATTTATAGAGTATACAGATATATAAAGTATACAGTTATATATATAGAGTATACAGATATATAGAGTTTACAGATATAGAGTATACAGATATATAGAGCTCTAGCTTGGTTACCCATCTTTGACTGGAAACTAAACTTTCTCTAAAATATTCAACCCACTTAGACATTTTAAACTATTAAGAACATATTCCCCTGGTTCAAACCAGTTTCTCAGTCAAAATTTGAGACAAATCAGTCAAGGGGTTCCTAAGTTATGATCGGATTCTATTTAAATTGTGAACATGTTCTTTTTGTTTACATTTTAAAACAAAGAAGAAAAAAATTTTGCGGATTTTTAAAAAAAATTCGCGGATTTTCAAGAATTTAATTTTTTTATAAAATTAAAAACCTTTAAAACCCTTTTTTTAATTTTTATCATTCATAAACCTTCCCTGTGGTCACGTGATGTACCACAAAAAATTTGGACCCGATCGGGGTCAGCTGTTTTGACGTTTATTGGACACAAACAAACAGACAAACAAACAGACAGACAAGCCAAATTTATATATAGATGCGTCCTTTACCATATTGTTAGATTCAACACAGCATTTATTCTGTTTTTATATAAAGTATATTTCGCAAACAAAAGTATGATTGAATATATAATATATCCATCAATCCTTTATACAAACTTACAATAACATTATCGGAAAAATCATGAATGTACACAATGAACCATAAATGGATAAAAACTGAGGGAAAACTTATATATTGTTAACCCCTGAAATAATCACATATCAAGTAGACCGATGAACTAAGTTATTTTTCTTTAGAAATTACTTAATCACAATCACATTTTTAGTAGACCTATGAATTAAGTAGTTTTTTTTTCAGAAATTACTTAACCACAAACACATTTAAACTAGACCGATGAATAAAGTTATTTTTTTTTTCAGAAATCACAATCACATATCAAGTTGTTATATGAATTAACTTATTTCCTTTCAAAAATCACTAAATGACAATAACGTATATCAAGTAAACCGTTGGATCCAGTTATTTTTTCAGAAATCACTTAAATGGCTAGTAAGCGTTATTATAAATGACCCTGCATGCAACGATACCAAAGTCCGATTTTCAACAGTACATTTAACCTTTTCTAGGACAATAATGTGAATGTAATTTAAATCAAAGTTTTGTAGAGAACACAAAATTATAAAAAATATCTTATTTATACATGATCAGAGATAGCTGTACCGGGTACCGTCTTGAATATCGTGTCTGGTAATCTTTGTATGGAGAGTCACTTGAAATTACGCTTACAGTCCCTTTAAGGCCCTTACCCGCCTTTTCTAGTTTTCTCGACGTGAATTTCTATTTATTTTAACTTAAAGTAAATTGACCAGGAAAATTTCACGCGAGGTTANGGCAAGATCAACTGTGAACTAGACATTCATGTGACATTAGTGGTACGACTTTGTGACATTTAAATCACCCTTGAAATTTACATAAATTTGACAAAGGGATGGGATCTGACATTTTTTTTCTTCAGAGTTCTCCGACCCGTGAGCTGCGCAGTCAGGCCAATATCCCCTCCTGTCTATCCTCCGAGGCTGTGAAGAGGAAAGGGGACTTCGTGTTCCAGACCGGTCACGTGATAGAGATAGTTACCAAGCTCTTCCTAGTTGTGCAGAACTGTACAGGCAAACCTCCAGCTGTTAACATTAGTACAGAATTCGAGGCTAACTTCGGTACACATAATGTAACCTTTCAGTTTAAGGTGAGATTATTATTATTAATATTATTATTATTATTATTATTATTATTATTATTATTATTATTATCATTATTATTATTATTAAGGTGGAGACTCGAATGTAGCTCCAGGTCACGTGAAGCTCTTGAAGAAAGGAAACAAGATGGAGGTCGTTTTGTAGTAAATACCAAGGTCGTCTTTATTCAGACACATGGAACTAGTAATAGTGACAAGTGTATTTATAGAAACTATTTTCAGGTATTTAAAGGTTTATTGGGACCAAAGGAATCGATTCTTTTTCACCATCTCTGCTTTTCTGATCCCTATATCTTTGCAACCCAATGCCGTAGACCTTAGATATTTCAAACAAATAATTTGTCTAGAAATTTTTAAGTTTGAAATATGTTTACACCATCAGGTTAAAAAGATATAAAAATCATACAATTTTAATTTGTGGCAAAAAGTCAATTCCTTTAACAAATTGGGATACATAAATCAGCTTTAAAGGGAGTACCCGGCAATGTATAATGGCTAAACTAAATATGTAGTATTGTGGACAATTTTATTTGGATTCATATAAGACATATAAAACGTTTCTACGACGTATATTTACTGAGTTAACTTGACTTTGAAAATCATGAATTTGGGTGGTACGTTTTTAGAATTTGTTTTTTTTTTCTTTATTAAATAACGTATTAAATAACGACAAAAAATGTAAACAAAATTCTACAGTAAACTAATTAGTTGTTTAGGAACAGGTTGTGAAAATAAATATTAATTCTTATTAGCGAATATAAGTAATCTTATTCAATTATTAGTTTCTATAATCTCTTATTATTTACAAAGATTTTCTGCAGATTTTTTGGAATTTTTATTGAAAAGACGACATTTGAGGAATTTGTAAAAATCTGGGAACAAAATTCAAAGAAAATAAGAATTTCAATATAATGATGGAAACGAAATAACTGATTCTAACATTGATTTATTGACAAATTTCTTTTGAGAAATATGTTCCCAAACATTTAATTAGTTTACTGTATAATTTTTACTTTATTTTTCGTCGTCGTTATTTAATAAATAAAAAAACCGATTCTGAAAACATACCCATCCAAATTCATGATTTTTAACGTCAACTTTGCACTCAAACTCAGTAATAATACATCGTGGAAATGTCTCAAAAGAATCCTAAAAATACTGCATACTCAGTTCAACCACCATACATTGCCGGTCACTGCCTTTAACGCAAACTAAATTATATATATCACTTCTCTTCAACATGTAGCGGGATCAAGTTTGTTTTACAAAACACAAGAATTCATGTTTATATAATTCATATTAAAATACAGTGAATTAGATGGAAAATAAAGCAAATCCGTGAAACTGTCTTTTGATATTGTGATTTTTTTTCAGAAATTGATTTGAAAAATTTGTAATATATTATTTTTCAAATTTTCATAAAAATCTGTTGTAAAATTTTGTAAAATTTATAAATATAAAAGAAAAAATTGTTTAGGATCTTCAATGCGAGGAGGAGGGGTTGAATTGAAGAATCAAAATATATTTGTGATACAGTTCATTTATACCACCTCATTATCATTCATTCATCATAGACTTAGCAGCACTTGTTTACTGTACAGTGTACATATACTCTGTATCTTTTGTCGACACTTGTTAACCAGGATTAGTTTTCTAACAACTGGTTGAAATTATGTATAAAAGAAGAAAGTGTAAATTTATATCTATATATATTTAAGAATTGGAAGCCCGTAAAGCACTTAAGTCATATATTACAATATGCTTAAAAACTTGTTTTTGTTATTTATTGGTTTAATTTTTTAATAAAATATATTTTTTTTGGTTTTCGAGCATTTTTTCATCAGTTTTAGCTTCATCTTGTATTTACATCCCGCGGAATTTTGTTGTTGTTGTTAAAGGACTGTTTTCCCAATTATTAGAATTTTTTATCAAGAGGCAAACAATGTTGTTGTAATATTGTAACAGTCCCTTAACCATCAGAGATTCTTTTATTTGCGTAAACATTCCCTTTTATTTTACCCTGATTTTACTTAGTTAATTTACACAGTGGTTTAAAACTGCAGACTTTTGATACCATTTTATACCATTGTTCAGAGCGCTAACAGAACAATACTTGAAGCAATATATCAAAAATTTGAATTTGAAAATGGTATCTTATTACAAGATAGTTTTATACAGGGTGAGGGGTTTGTTCATGAGGGTGACAGAGAACATCAAAATCTACATTATTAAACATTATAAGTTAACAATATTATTAATCTTACAAATATACAAGATTCATTAATCTCAGCCTAAGCTGAGATGTCCGAAAAGCACAAACAACTTAAATCTCACCTATGAATGATTTGGAAAATTCATCGAAAAAATGACTCAAATAATTCTCTTTTATCTATACTAAGATTATGCACTGAAAACTACGTTTTGAGGGCAAGATCAACCAATACAATACTTGTACTTGTACTTGTACTTGAACTTGTACTTGTACTTGTACTTGTACTTGTACTTGTACTTGAACTTGTACTTGTACTTGTACTTGTACTTGTACTTGTACTTGTACTTGTATTTGTACTTTTGTTTGGATTTGTATAGATTGNCTTGTACTTGTACTTGTACTTGTACTTGTACTTGTACTTGTACTTGTACTTGTACTTGTACTTGTACTTGTACTTGTACTTGTACTTGTACTTGTACTTGTACTTGTACTTGTACTTGTACTTGTACTTGTACTTGTACTTGTACTTGTATTTGTACTTGTACTTGTACTTGTACTTGTACTTGTACAACACTTAAAAAATATTGCTTTTCTTAAAATAAAAAATGTTTTTTGATAACTTATACATAAAACATAAATATTTTGTATATATCATTATTCGTCTCAATTTAGAACATTTTGGTAACCCCTGTATCATATACATACATCAAGGGAGGGTCAATGTCAATTTTTTTTATTTCTTTTTACTTGTTTAAATTGTTTAAAACGGTTACCATATTTAGTCGTTTTAAACAATATTCGTTTTCTGTTTTTTTTTTGGTAAGAATACCAAATCACCCTCAGAATATCGTCAGTAACATGTTTTACGATTGACTTGCGTTGACATTTCACTTGTATATTTATTTTATTTATTTTCGATCATTGTGTTTACAATAATATATTGTTTGATTTAGAGAAATAAATTATGATATATGAAGGATTTTGAAAATTATCATTAACTGAAATTGTGTAAAACATTTTTAATTTTCTTAATTAACATGTACGTTGGTCTGACCAAATTACTTAATTTGATTTGTTTTTCAACTTTAATATATATGGTTACCTACGGTGGTAGACGATTATAGCAACACAATAAAGACGACTTTTTATTTAAGTTTTAATTGTTAACAAGCTTTTTTTAGAATTACAAATGTACCAGCAATTAAAGGAAAACAGCTTTTTTAGTTTTTGATTGACAACGTCTCACTGTTTCCATGTTTTTGTGTATCCATTCTGTTTAAAAGCTTGATAAAAATTGAATAGAATGTCGTCTTTTTTATAATGATATAATCGACTACCACCGTAGAAATAACAAAATTAAAACTAATTGAAGACGTATTGAAGTTTGACGAACGTAATGGTAAATTGGCAGAAAGAAAGCTCATCAGGAACGCTTGCAATATAGTCACACACTGTGTTTGCTGTTTTGTTTTAATAAATATAATAAAATATAATCATAGATAAAGAAAGATTACGCATAAGACGACATTTTTCATCTTGAAAAAAATAAATGTACATGTTTTAGATGTTTTAAAGATATTCCTATTATATAGATTAACTAGGTCGGTTGTGAACATTGGCTGTTCTCCATTGAGTAATTGTGGTGTACATGAGTTCTGTAGAGAGAAATTTAAGTTATTTTAGTCCTTCTCATGTCCTTTTTTAGTACTCGTCAATATGATATATTGCTCTGTGAATAATTGTTGTTCAAATAGTTCCATTCCCGGAGTTATTTTACACTCTATTATGAAATCCATTAAAACACCAAACCACCCCGCTTATCATTGAAGTACACTTTCACCCCTAGAAGTATGAGTTCGCGGACTGTACAATTCTTGGTGATTTTGCGTACATAAGCCAAGAAATATATAGACCAGGAACCGCCTTATCTGATGCGTCAAATTTGTGTACTGCAGTGGGAGGCGATCAAAACATAGAATTCAGGGGCAAAACATCAATTATGAGGGGGGGGGGATGAAATAAAGTATATTGCTATCGTAGACATGAATACTGATTATAAAACGAAAGAATATTTGTTACTTGCGAGTATATGCTTTAAAGGCAGGAGAGGGAAATGATAATATCCAAGATTATATTCAAATTGTGAAACGTTATATGGTAAAATTCGGATGTTTTAATAAAAGCAAAAACAATTCCTCACTCCATGGGAATCAATGCAAAGAGGAACTGTAGACATATTTCAATGTNTTTTACCTTGCTTCTCCTTTATAGTTGAACAAATCTCACTGAGCATGAATAAATTTTCCATATTGATCTGAAACCCAAAAATCATATTTAAATAAATAATTTGTATCCGCACTAACTTAATATATTAACTAGTTTCTTTTGTTTTTGACTGTAACATCACTCTGTTTATCAGTGTTTAATCCTTTCTCTTCAACTGCTGTGGGGGCACTGGATTTGTTTACATTCCTCCCACAGTGTACAGTACACAATTTGCGTATATCTGAGTTGGGCGTTCCTGGTCTATATATTTGTTGACATAAGCTATCTATGTTTATTTATTTATCTACATTCTCCGTTTATCTATGAATATAATTCTTGAAGTTGCAGTAAATCAATAATATTAACTTTTGAACTCTTTTAAACCCGCTTTTGAAGAATGATTATAATGTTCAAGGAACGGATCCCATGAATTAACAATGTACGATAGCGTATACTTCGCTCTTGCTGCAATTCAAACACTTTTCGAGACATATACACACAGACTTCTCTGTCCTAGGTGAACAGTAAAAAATTTAAAGGGTACTGCGCAAAAAAGGCATTCCTCTCTTTGCAGTCCCTTTAGCTAAAGCTTGTGCTTTTTCTGTCTGGATTTTGTGAAAAGTGTGTCCAGGGGATTGCAGAGCCTAAAAACAAATTGGTCTGTAAATTGAGCTATCAGCCCCGAGCTTCAGATCATCAGCTTTCTAATCAACCAGGGAGACCCTCATATTAAGAGGGGGGNGTCAAAACGGCTGAACCGATCGGGCCCAAATTTTGTGTGGGACCTCACGTGACCCCAGGGAAGGTTTATGAATGATCAAAATTTTAACAATTTGTGTTTAAAAGTTTTTTATTTTTGAAAAATTTTGAAAATGCGCAAAAATATATTATGAAATCCGCAAACATTTTTGGTTTTTTTTATTCTATACAAAGAGAAGATGTTCAGAGATTAAGCCACAATTACAAGTTGAAATAGAAGATGGGCGCGAAGCGCCCTAAAAGCCTAGTAAAATAAAATAAAATAAAATAAAAATAATGTAAAAAAAATGCAATATATGTTTTGAGTAAAAACGCAGCGGCCTTTGGCGGGCGGTTGGCTCAATTCCAATATTGATCACCCCTAGTGCCCAGCCCTATAGATATAGAAACGTGCCCAGCCCTATAAAGATGACGTGCTTAGCCCTATAGAAATAGAAACGTGCCCAGCCCTATAGAGATAGAAACGTGCCCAGCCCTATAGAGATGACACTCTTTTAGTGGAAAGTCACTTGGAATCACTTTCCTTAAATTAATCGAACGTTAGTAAAATTTCTTATATACAATACATTGGATATTGAAGATTACTGAAAACTCTATTAGATACTTAACAAAGTTTCTAGATTCTAGTTTCTATAGGTTCTAATCTATATTAGTGGCTGAACACTGAAAGGCTTTGATCGGTTTAAGACAATTTACCTAACTCTACATTAGGCATATAGGCATACCAGTCAGGCAGATTAATGATAGATAGATAGAAAGATAGATTTTAGATTCGCAGATTTCTCGTTTTTAAATTTAGCATTTTTAAATATCATAATTTTTCCGTCTTTAACCAACCATGAAACCTACTTATTGGATCACAAAACCATTTGTGCCTGATCGGTTTAGCCGCTTGGACGTTTATTGGATACAAACAAGCTATCAAACAAGCAAAATATAGAGATATAAATATAAATATGTATAATCTTTGTTTTACTTATAAAACAGATATGTAGACATAGATAGAACTAGCAGTCTACTTTCCACTATTTACAATCCACTTTTATTACAAACATTTTTCGATCTTTTTATTGCCACCAAATAAATTTGGTTTTCTCATATTTAAAATCCAAACTAGAGAGCTACGTTGTCACAATATCATGTCAGTAATTTCACATTAATTTGACTTTTTCCTTATGACAAGCTATAATCTTTAAGTAAATCTAAACAAGATCAAATTTATATTTCAGTTGGGTTAATTTTAATCTATGTTGATTAGACAATGACATAATACTAAACATTGAGGGAAAAAGACAGTAAATGTTTATAATATTGATCATGGACTTCAAAAAAGTGAACATAATAATCAAAATCATGATAGAAGTTTCGACAGGGTTAAACCCATAAAAGATAAAACTTAAAAGACAATCGTACGAAATTTATTGAATTTAGTTAATTTTTGCACTCAGGGTTCCATATAACGGCACAATTGTTTATATCTTTGCCAGATTATTCATTATACAGGGTGTCCCAAAAAACATGGGAATTCAGTGACGAATTCGATATCGTCTTTGTTATGAATTAGCATTGTAATACCTAAAATCAAAAGCCATAATATTATTATGTCTGCTAGAGCTTATTTTATGAAAAGGGTAAAAGATTGTAAAGATGTGTCTATATAATGTCTCCGCAAGATGAATAGTGAAGACAGACAAGTTTACTCTGTTTGTATACTGCAATTTTCTTGTTTTACTAGGTACAACCGTATGCAGTCAAAACATAAACAAACAAAATGTGAACATAGCAGACGAAACTCCTACAGATTACAGCTTTCTCAGTAGGTATCACTATACTAAACCAAAGAATTATTTAAAAAGACGATATCGAATTCGTCACTGAATTCCCATGTTTATTGGGACACCCTGTACCTTAATGTTTATTGGGATACCTTGTACCTTAAACAAACACTTTATTCAAGAAAGAAAACTAAATTCAAGTTTTAGGTTGTCATTAAAGTCTTATCCTTTGTGGGTAACCCTTAAACTCTATTGAAATCAGAAACAGATATATCAATTTTTCATTCTGTTGATTTGAATAAAATGTTCGTGATTTAGAAATGCTAACGGTTCGTTCGATTTTACGAACACAATTTTAGAAATTTCTTAAAAGGCAACAAAGACTAAGTATTAAACTAAATTCAACGATCATATATTTAGGATTATTGATTCAAAGATTAAATGTTTAGGATTGCAAAATGTTATCCAAGGATTATATATTGAGGATTACTAAGCTAAATCCAAGGATTATATATTGAGGATTGTCGGACTAACTCCGAGGATTATGTATTGAGAATTATCGGACTAAATCCAAGGATTATTTATTTAGGATTACCAGACTAAATCCAAGAGGTGTGTTCCAAGAATACTTTATTCAAGAGGTGTGTTCCAAGGACACTATATCCAAGAGATGTGTTCCAAGAAAACTATATCCAAGAGGTGTGTTACAAGGACACTATATCCAAGAGGTGTGTTCCAAGGATACTATATCCAAGAGGTGTGTTCCAAGGACACTATATCCAAGAGATGTGCTCCAAGGATACTATATCCAAGAGGTGTGTTCCAAGGACACTATATCCAAGAGGTGTGTTCCAAGGATACTATATCCAAGGACCATATACAGAGGGAGTGTAGAACTGGATCCAATATTACAGAATTCTCCTTCACAGAACAGCATACATCCTACCATCAGCTCATTCTAAAAAGAAAAAAATTTGTTTTAAAAAATCTTTGCGCACAAATTTTGGTTTGCGCCAGAATTAACATTTTTCATGCTTATAAATACGTTCGCACAAATTCCGCTTTTAGACGGTGGTAGGGGATAATAGTAGTATAATGAAGACGACTTTTTATTAAAGTTTTTATTGTTTACAAGCTTTTTTACGAATTAGAAGTTTACAAGTAATTAAAGAGAAGGTTTTTAGATTGACAGCTTCTCTTTGTTTCAATTTTTTTGTGTAATGATGCTGTTTGAAAGCTTGATATAAATAAAAATTGAAATCGAAAGTTGTCTTCATTATACTGATATTTTCGCTTACCACCGCACAAATGCAAACTAGGTATATATATATATATATATATATATATATATATAGTAACAAAATTTTATTTTAAAAAATGTAATGAAAGGGACTATTCGCAAAAAATTGAATTCAATATTGATAGTTACTAATTTTTAAAACAAATCAAATAGTATATTTTTCTGCAGTAAACGTAATAACAAATTAAACAATATATAAAATTCTAACAACATTTAATTAAAATTACTGCAGCAGGGGGGCTCAGATAGCTTAAAGCTGATTTGGACAAAGCCCCCCTGTTGTCCTATTGAAATTATATTCTTAATATTAAAACGAATACACATAATTACATAATTACATAATTACATTTATATGTATATATAAATTAAAGAATTTTACTTCAATCTGTTGTGTCACTAAAATGAAAATTATTAAAAACGACTAATACCAGGGAGTGTTGCTATTCCACTCAGATCGTAAATAATTCAATTAAATTAAAGAAAACTCATTCAGATATTAAAACCTACAATTCATCCAATTCAATTCGATGAAATTCGTAAATAGTTGATATTTCATAATGTATTAATACTATTTTTTATTTATCAATATGTCGCTTAAACCTTGCTTGAATTTCTTTGGACTCTTGGACGTTTTAACCATGTTCTCCTTATAGACGCAACCAAAGAGCTTTGTACTATTCTACCGTCTTTGGACGCAACAGATAGAGGTAAAATTAGAAGCGATCAGTACTGAATTCCATTCCATCAGACTTATACCACGATTCATTTTTCGCGAACACTCCCTTCAAATAAAGAAAAAAACGGGTTTAAAGTTAAAAGAAAACAAAACAAATAAATAACATAAAAAAAAGAAAAAAAACAGCTCCAAGAAAAGAAAAGATAAAATAAGAGAAAAGTAAATTAAATAATATAAGAGACCAACAAATTTTCAAATACCAATAAAAGGAAAACCTGGAAAATGAATTCTCCGCACTGTGAGAAAGCCTGCTTCCCTGAGATACAGCTTCTCACTAATAAACTCTCTCTAAAATAAAGGTACTGTCTAGTGAGCAGCTGCAGGCGTAATTCCAATTTAGATATGAATGGCTTGTCAGATTAAGAACGGTCCCATTTAAAACTTTATATGAGTAGGTTGTAACAATATCCTATATAGATCACGCGAAGGCTTTTGGAGTGCCGTTATATATGGAACATACCACTCTTTTTTTATTTGCAGGGTCACTTGAAGTTATGTATACAGTCCCTTTCAGGCGTGCAAGATTAAGCTTCAATAGTTTTAACTTTTTTAAACTTAAAAGCACTTGATGCAAACAATTAGTTGCCAACAGTTTAGTGATATCACTTTCAAATGAGAATATTATTATTTTTAATGATAAAAGCAGTGTAAACTTGGGGTTGTAAATGTTTGGATCAATCACTGTTCTTCATCTTATACAGACAAACCATTTCATTTAATTTCTCTTTGATATCTCTTCTTGATGGTTATACAACTTTAATTGAGGAATCAAGCATTTATTCTCAAATGTAAAAGTTTTCACATTGGATATAAATTTGTAAACCGAAGAATACAATTGAACAGAAATTGGAACTTTTGTATGGATATTTTAAATCTTAAACTTTGGATTTCGATATCCAATGTGAGCACTTTTAAATTTGAACAGGAATTTAATAATTACTGAGATCTATATTAGAAGAATATTAATCCTTAATATTTCTTAAAGACTACTTGTTGTATACAGTGTTGCCCAATATCTTGACACAAAATGATGCTGGCACCAGACTACCATTCTAAAAAATGGGAAAAATTAGAAATCTGTTTTAAAAAGTTATTTCGACAATCAATTTATTTGAAAAATGTATCTTTTAACAGTTGTTTACTTAAATCATGCAGATCCTTTAATATCTCTCTGCACCAACAAATTTTATTTTAAAAATATTTTTTTTCGTCGAATTTTTTTTCGCTCGTTAAATGTTTTAAAATACTCACCAAGCTCTCGGCAGGCACTTGACAATCTGATTTTCTATGTACATCACTGTACACTTCGGGTAGTGGGTCCTCACAGCTGATTTCACTTCTTTAATAATAGAGCGTGTCCCACATCATATAAGATTGTTCATAGCTTAAAATTGCGATTTTCGGGACTAATCAGAAAATAAAAAAATAAAATAAATTGCATAATATGCTGAAAATAAAATTTGCATGCAGAAAATACCAGGTTTTTCGCGTATTATTTGCGTATTTTTGCGTTAAAGTTTTGAGATAATCTATAAAATTATAAAAATCTCACCTATTCTTACTTGAACAATGGTAGCAGTCTAAACTAAGCACGGAGGGTGCAAAAGCCAAACTTAAAACTGAATAATATAAGTTTGATTTCTACAGTAAGAACCACAAAACTCCGGAATAGAAAAGACAACTTTAGATGTACACAAGTTATGACTTTAAATAGTCCACTAAACAGAGACAGAACAATAGTGCAGCAGTGACAGACCCATTGAACTTAATAAGTAATTAAATAACTTACATGGAAAAAACTTTGCTTCGTAACAACATCAAATAAACTAATTATTGCAAGCATGTCTTCTTCCTATTCTACAGTTCTATTGTTCTCACTGAACATCCACAACTTGGAAAATACATTTCCACGCTATATCTTAAAACAAATTGAATTTTTACAATTTATTTAATTTATTATAAATCCGCTAGTCTCTGTTAGAGAGAATCTACAATTTGAAATTATCAATTTTCTGAGAAGAAACAATAATATCTCATTTATGATTGATCAGACAAAGGTGTAAAGGATAATGTTGTCAATACTTTTATTTAAGTAAAAAAATCGGAAAACAAAGCAATTTTCTAATACTTGTACAATGTACAATTTGCAAATTTTTTTTGCAGACTTTTAACAACGAAAATTCATAAGTAGACATATGACTTCTTTATACATTGGATCTTGACTGAAAACTTGATATGAAAGCAAAATTATTATTGAATATCACACCGGCGTAAAGTAGAGTAGACACCATTATCTGACACTGGTTTCAATCCATTTTAATCTAAAAAGAAAACTAACGTTATTAATTTTAATCACTTTATCCAAGAAATCTCATGAAAAGCATATCGATATTGATAAAGGTTGTAATTAAATCTCAGGTTTATCCTTGCGGCATTGTTTATAAACCAACTTTTCCCTGAGAGTTACCAATTCTGGGTTGGAGTAATATCCTGGGTTTGCAGTAAACTATCCTAGGAGTAAACTATCCTGGGTCGGAGTAAACTATCTTAGGAGTAAACTATCCTGGGTTAGAGTAAACTATTTCGGGTTGGAGTAAATTACTCTGTGAGTAAACTATCCTGTGAGTAAACTATTCTGGGAGTAAACTATACAGGTTGGAGTAAACTATACAGGTTGGAGTAAACCATTCTGGGTTGGAGTAACTTATCCTGGGAGTAAACTATTCTTGGTTGCAGTAAACTATCCTGGGTTGGAGTAAACTATCCTGGGATTAAACTATTCTGGGATCCTGGGAGTAAACTATTCTTGGTTGCAGTAAACTATCCTGGGTTGGAGTAAACTATCCAGGGATAGAATAAACTATCCTGGGTTGGAGTAAACTATTCTGGGTTGGAGTAAACTATCCTGGGATGGAGTAAACTATCCTGGGATGTAGTAAGCTATCCTGGGTTGGAGTAAACTATTCTGGGTTGGAGTAAGCTATCCTGGGTTGGAGTAAACTATCCTGGGTTGGAGTAAACTATCCAGGGAAGAAGTAAACTATCCTGGGATGGAGTAAACTATCCTGGGATGGAGTATACTATCCTGGGTTGGAGTATACAATATCCTGGGTTGGAGTAAACTATCCTGGGTTGGAGTAAACTATTCTGGGTTGGAATAAACTATCCTGGGTTGGAGTAAACTATCCTGAGTTGGAATAAACTATCCTGGGTTTGAGTAAACTATCCTGGGTTTGAGTAAACTATCCTGGGTTGGAGTAAACTATCCCGGGTTAGAGTAAACTATCCTGGGTTGGAGTAAACTATCCTGAGTTGGAGTAAACTATCCTGAGTTGGAGTAAACTATCCTGGGTTGGAGTAAACTATATCCTGGGTTGGAGTAAACTATATCCTGGGTTGGAGTAAACTATCCTGGGATGGAGTAAACTATCCTGGGTTGGAGTAAACTATCCTGGGATGGAGTAAACTATCCTGAGATGGAGTAAACTATCCTGGGTTGGAGCAAACTATTCTGGGTTGGAGTAAACTATCCTGGGTTGGAATAAACTATCCTGGGTTGGAGTAAACTATCCTGGGTTGAAGTAAATTATCCTGGGTTGGAGTAAACTATCCAGGGATGTAGTAAACTATCCTGGGATGGAGTAAACTATCCTGGGTTGGAGTAAACTATCCTGGGTTGGAGTAAACTATCCTGGGTTGGAGTAAACTATCCTGAGTTGGAATAAACTATCCTGGGTGGGAGTAAACTATCTTGGGTTAGAGTAAACTAGCCTGGGTTGGAGTAAACTATCCTGGGTTGGAGTAAACTATTCTGGGTTGGAGTAAACTATCCTGGGTTGGAGTAAACTATCCTGGGTTGGAGTAAACTATTCTGGGTTGGAATAAACTATCCAGGGTTGGAGTAAACTATCCTGGGATGGAGTAAACTATTCTGGGTTGGAGTAAACTATCCTGGGATGGAGTAAACTATCCTGGGTTGGAGTAAACTATCCTGGGTTGGAGTAAACTATCCTGGGATGGAGTAAACTATCCTGGGATGGAGTGAACTATCCTGGGATAGAGTAAACTATCCTGGGATGGAGTAAACTATCCTGGGTTGGAGTAAACTATCCTGGGATGGAGTAAACTATCCTGGGATGGAGTAAACTAGTAGTAAACTAAATGCTGGGTTGGAGTAAACTATATCCTGGGTTGGAGTAAACTATCCTGGGTTGGAGTAAACTATCCTGGGTTGGAATAAACTTTCCTGGGTTGGAGTAAACTATCCTGAGTTGGAGTAAACTATCCTGGGTTGGAGTAAACTATACTAGGATGGAGTAAACTATTCTGGGTTGGAGTAAACTATCCTGGGTTGGAGTTCAGCCTGTATGTTTGCTCTACCCTGAGTTCAGAGTTCCTTACCTGAGATTATACCTGCTCTCATTAATCCTCTCTCAATATTTTTTTATTGATTCTCATTTTCATTATCTTATCTATTTTTGATATCAAATCTTTTCAATTTATAGTTTCCGTCGCCGATTAATTCTATCAACTTTTACGTGGGTGATCCGTAAAGGTTGAGACTTCAAAGACGACATATAGTCGTCAAACATTAAACAAATATACCGCTACTGCAGCTTCTTATCATTATTTCTTGTCACGTTATAAACAAGATTATTCATAATTAAGACCAAAATAAATCTTCACATTTGGATATTTTATAATTCAAACTGTCCTGAAACTTGTATTCAAATTGGTAACCTTGTGAATCCCGAAACTCCAACTTGAGTTGCCAGATATTTTCTGCATTCCATATCTGTGTATGGGGTGTCCCAGGAAAAGCCGAATATGAGTTTTGAAGCCTTTTTTTGCAGTTAGAAGTCACAACTTGGGACATAATGTTTAACTTTAAATTTTTATCTTTTTTTTTAGGAAGGTTTTTTCTGAGACTACATTTGTGAGAACCTGATTTAAGCTTAAGTTCCTTTTTTTGCTTTGATTCTTATATCTATTGTTTTGTATAGTGCGCAGTGCATACCTTTTGTATTGTCTTTATAAACATATTTGGCTTGTCTCTTTGTTTTACTGTCTGTCTGTATCCATAAACGTCAAAACGGCTGAACCGATCAGATCCCAACTTTGGGGCAACCCACATGACCCCAGGATAGTTTTATGGGTCAAAGATGTAATCATTTGCCCGGTAAAAATGTCGATACTTATTATTTTTGAACCCAGCAGGAAATTGAGTCGAGGTCGGGAAAAAGTAATTTTGTCGACTAAGGTCCGATTCATATTCGATCCCGGAAGTCGAAGTTTCGACTCTCAATGTTTGTGTCGGATATGTCTGCTAAATAAATAATGATTTTACACAATGTTAGGAGTCAGTTCTTTATTCAATTGACTAGGACTAGGTGTTTACAATTCTTTCAAGTACAAAGCAGCAGCAGTCTAATAATAAATACATAAATAAATAAATAAATAATGGATAGGAAGAGATAAAAGAGAGCGAAAAAAAGGTTTAAAAAGCAAAGTTGATTGATTTTGAATTGCGGTTAAAAGCCTTCATGAATGAAAGTATAGATATTAAGACGCTATAATTGGAAAGTTTTTGAAGCAAAGAAAACAAGTGTTGCAAGTGTTACGGTGTGAATAGTTTAAGGGATTCTGATGTTAGGGAAGGTCTGCCTGGCAAAGTTAAGATGCCCCTCAACATCCTCGCAGATAATTGGTTTCTCATGATGACAAGCAACATCGTGCCACTTTATTCCATCTCCGTAGAAATTGTTCAGGACAGCCATACACGATTCACTCTCTCCTAAAATACACAAAAATGTAAATGTTTGAAAACTGTTCATTTATCTTAAAGAATAAAAGACAATGTTTAAGAAGACCAAATTGTATAATTTTTTAACTAAGAATCTTTTATCTAAGAGAAAAAGTTGTTTGAAAGTTCTATGGTGTACGACATAGGCTACACAAATATATGAACTAGAAAATCGGAGTTTGTGGCAAAGACTCAATTCCTTTGCATTAAATGAAATGTTCCATAATGATGTAAGTAATTATAAGAAAAGGAATCAATTCTTAGTTTTATATTCAGACAGTTCTTAAACTTTTATTACTGTCAGATCTTGGCCAAATCACGTTTTGAAACTTTCCTCTCCTGAATGTTTTCTTAAATGTTTTGCTTTAAAGTAATATAATAAATCGGTAATGGGAAAAAATGAGATTACAGTTACAATGTAATGAAGAATGTAATCTGAGTTATTTTACACACAGTCCTCTCATAAATTTCATGTTTTGTGGGCCCCCCTGTAATAAATAAAATGTTAATCGAAGACGACTTTCTTTTACCTCCTTGCTGGACTTGTTCCCTGTTATCAGGCTGGGGCCTCTGTGCTCTGAAAAATTAGAAATATAAAGTTTCAAAATATTAAAAACTCGAACATTATATGTCAAATTGGAACAAATATGACAAATGGGAAAAATATGACAAATGGACAAATATGATAAAATGGACAAATATGACAAACTTGATTCATATATTAATTTTGAAAGAATATTGCAAACTGAAAAAATGGGAAAGATGTGAAAAATATCAAAAATATCAAAATCTAGAAAGAAAAACCATAAATGACAATTCTTAGAACTTGGAAGCATATGACAAACTGGAAAACTATGACAAAACTGGAAAAAAATGTCAAATCTGGAAAATTTGACAGACTGGACAAATATAGCAAACCATGACAAATATAATAAACTTGACAAATATGATAAACTGGAAGAATATGACACACATGACAATTAAGAAAAACTAGACAAGAAAGACAAACTGGAAAATATGACAAACTAGACAAATATAACAAAATTGAAAATATTTAACTCAAATATATTTTACTTTAAAATCAATTTTCCTATAATTTATGGCATATAATTTATCTTTTTATTATTCTCTTTGGTATAACAACTTAACAAATTAATGAAGAAGACTATTCACCAACTGTCATATTTCGTGGGACACCCTGTAGGATGCCAAATAAAAAATAAGACAAGCTAATAAAACAACTCACCCTCCGGTTTGAGACCAATCGTGGAAAGCAGAGTTAGAATTGGTTGGAGATAGAAATGTAGATACTGTAAACTGTATACAGTAAGGCCCATAAAACTGTGAAGTAAGACGACTTTTAGACATAAGATATGATTTTTAGAACCAGTTTACTTAGTAATTTAATTTTAAAGCCAGTGGTAAAATTAATTGCTTACACACATAAGATCGCAAAAATGTCGTCTTCATTTTCCAAAGATGTTTGAGTCTCACTGTATATTATATATTGCATGTTAACTGGAAATATTAATATTTAAGAGAGGCTGGAAAATGTAATATACAATCTCGTTGTATACAACAAATATAGTTTACAAGTAGGAAATAGATATTAAGAGAATAAAATAAGCAAATAAATAAATCGATTTATGAACAAAAATAAGATTTGCATGAAAAAATAGATAGATAAAATATTCCATTGTTACCAAATTTTGCAAATGTATATTTTGCTATGGAAATTGGAGATTTGAGCAACAATATATTTTATATGTCAAGATAATGAAATGTTTCTAAGAATGGTTGGATCGCCATAAAAGTCTCATTCTTTTTAACCTGTATATGTACATCTACATAATAAAGCTCTTTGCTTATATAATATATATATATATGTATATATTTATATAATAAAGCTCTTCGCTCATATTAAGATATATATATAATTGACTGCCTTTTTTTAGGGAAACCCTGGCCCATGGGTACCTACAAAAAATCTTCATTTCTTTTTTCAAAAATTTATATATTTAATTAACCTGATTAGCGGACCAGAACCATCCGTTTATGTTCTTAGGGAAGAAATCCGGACGATCACATCCGTCGAAATCACAAAGACGACCAGAAGTCCAGAAATAGGGAACATTTCCTAAACATACAATTAGCTGCAACTTTTTAAATACATGTTTTACATACAAATCAGAGTTGATGCGGGAGGCCGTTTTCTTTTGCGAATTAGACGATTCTGAAAGATCACGGGCAACGCTGAGTACTGCAGAAAGTTCATGCATTAAGTATCATAGAAATATCATAAAAACGACAGAAAGATTTACAAACCTGAAAAAACCGGTTGGACATCTATAAATTGAATTTATTGTAAATGATGAGAAATATTTCCAGTTTTATCTGTTAATTGCATGGTTTGCTGCACTCTCCTACTTATTTGTTCTTGTCATACTGTTTATTAGCAATAACAAGATTTAATATATTTAAACAAAAAAACTTATAAATCTTTAAACCTTGATATTTATTGTATTCGAGACAATTTTGAATTGGATAGTTCACATGTTTGAAAATAAACGTACTTTAAGAATCAGAAAACTGTAGAATAGGAAGACGACAATAAAGCAATAAATAAACGTATTGGAGGTTTTTACAAGCAAACAGTAACTTATTTAAAAGTTAAATGGGTCTGTTCACTGCAAATTTTCTTTTATTGAACTATTTAAAATCAAAACTTGAGTCTAAGAGTGGTTCTCGCTAAAAATTGTAGTAAAAAATAGCAAAAAAATCAACATTTAATTGGTCGAAATGGATTCTATAGTTAGAGCTTACTGATTTTTTCCCCCAGGAACTCGGATTTACTTAGATTTGTGACAAATTAATTAATAATCTATATATAAATTTTGCTTGTCTGTCTGTTTGTTTGTCTGTTTGTTTGTATCCAATAAACGTCAAAACGGCTCAACCGATCGGGCCCAAATTTTTTTGTGGGACATCACGTGACCACAGGGAAGGTTTATGAATGATAAAAAAAATTGTTTTAAAGGTTTTTAATTTTGTAAACAAATTTAAATTCTTGAAAATCCGCGATTTTTTTTTTTAAATCCGCAAAATTTTTTTCTTCTTTGTTTTTAAATGTAAACAAAAAGAATATGTTCACAATTTAAATAGAAGATGGGCGGGAAGCGCCCTAAAAGCCTTGTCAAATTAAATTAGCATTAGTTTGATTATACGGTCCTTTGTGACATATCTTTCTGCGTCACGGTTTATTAATTTGTGTTCCTAATGTTAACAAAATTGTTTTTTTCCCTTTTTTAAAATAAGTGATCAGTCCCTTTAAAGCCGTCATTTGTTGATTTAAGGGGTAATGTAGTACAGATCTATATTTTACTTCCTTGTTTTAATTTCTTATTTCCGAAACTATTTAGATTTTGCTTCCTCCATCTTCTTCAAGACATGACAGAGTGACTGCAACGCCTGTTTATTTTTCTGCTGCAGGTGGCGGAAGTAAAATATTACTGTCATCAAGTTGAAGCAAAAATTAAGGAAACATTTTGAGCTAATACATCTTAATACATCTTAATTTTTGTATATTTGACTAATATTGAGATGACATTATCTTTTGAAGTTTAAATATTATTCATTGGAAGTTTTGAAAAAGAGCGTTCAGTCGGTTTGACAGTCTCAAAACAACTTTTTGCATTTTTGCATTTATCAGAATTAAATTTATTTATTATGTGATGATGAGATGTTATTACAAACTAATAGGTATAGGCTCAGAATTATCTATCCCTTATTTGTTATCAGAACTTTAGTCGGAGATTCACCATTCGACGTCGGAGATGGACGTAGTAGTTTGTCAGAGACCTTTCAATGTTTGTTGGTATATTCCCTTGTAATATTCATTCAAACCCCTTTTAACACGTTTAAAAAACGGCGGGTAGGAAAATGAATCGGCAATTGGTTAAACATACCGTTGATGAATCCCTTAACCCAGTCGTACTCCTGCTTGGTCTCGAAGCTGACGAGGTCCATGCAACGTTTCCTGCAGTAGTTCCTGGCATTGAACCAATCCCACTTAGCGTTCCTAAAAATAGGAATTTATTTCAAAATGAAAACTCTAGTGGACATGAACTCAATGTCAAACTGACCTCTACCTAACACTTTCCTAAATTGACCTCTCAAGCCTCACTCAACTTGACCCCTTACCTTACTTGACCTCTTCTTCAACCTGACCTTTTTCTTCTTACTCTATTTGACCTCTTCCTCAACTTACCTCTTACTCAACTTGACTTTCCACTCATCTTGACCTCTTCCTCATCTTGACCTCTTACTCAACTTGACCTCTTACTCAACTTGACCTCTTCCTCATCTTGACCTCTTACTCAAATTATCATCCTCCTAAACTTGACCTCTTCCTCGACTTAATCTCTACCTCAAATTAACCTTAATCTGTACTAGACCTCTACTTTAAATTGGCCCCAACATGAACATAACCTCCACTGATATTTGACCTTTACATGACCCTAACCTAAGGAATTACTATACCTCTTACATTTTTACAAGACCTTAAGCTACACAAGATCTTAACCTCTCTATATGACCCGTAACTTGAACTGAATTTGACTTCTACACGACCTTCACTAAGTCTTTATCTACATGTGACCTTAACCTCCCTCGGATTTTGACCTTTTTACACCCTACACCAGATCTTTAATCCTTTAACTTAACTTTACAATGTCTTAATCTCTCCTCGATATGACCTCACCATGGCCTTAATCATCCCTGGATTTTGATCCCTACAAGATCTTAATCTCCTCTGGATATTGATCTCAACAAGATCTTAGTCTCCTCTGGATATTGATCTCTACAAGATCTTAAACTCCCCTGGATATATTGACCGCTACTTGACCGAAACTCTTTCCAGCCTTTGATTTTTACTAACCTGACGCTTGAGTCATTATCCAGCCAGCTGAACCAGTAAGTATGACCTCCGAACCTCTGAACACCACCTCTGTTTACTCCTGAAAAAAAATATATTCTTTAAAATTCGAAATTTTGAGCCAATTATCCTTTATACTGATAGGACTGGAGAAGCCACAGTGGGACCATTACAGCTGTGGAATAGGAAGACGACCCATTACACATAGTAAATTAATTTCCAAGCCACTAGTGAGCCTACTTGCTTTATAACAACATCAACGGATGGCTGAAAAGTCGTCTTCCAACTCCACAGGTTTTCCTCGGTCCCACTGTATACAGAGGATAGTTATCCATATAAAACCATAATAAAACTAGAGGTCAATATGTCTGTGTTATCTATGCACTAACTTGGGAGGGAATCCAGCTTTGGCTTAAAACTGAACTTTCGCAAAAAAAATCAACCCACTCAATTTATTATTTGTAAAGCAAGCTTAGAACATTCCCGTTTAGGGAAAATCGGTCAAGGGGTTCATGAGTTATGATCCGACATAAAAAGAAACACAGACAGGACAAACAGAGATTACAACATAAATAAAAATAAAGATTTATATATAAAGATATGAATGGTATTGAATGTTGAGTAAAAGAAGAACAAGGCACCGAGCCTACACAGATAGGAACCTGACCTTGTCTCACACCTGGCAAACCAAGGAGACCTACATGGGTGGGGGGAGAGGGGAGATAGTTATTGTTGGTGGATGGGGAGGGGAGGGGGTAGTGTCGGTCATTGGCGAAGGATTAATTTTTCTTTAAAAGTCCATTTAGAACTATAAACATGTTGTATATCTCCTATTCCCTCCCTCCAACACCCACCCCTCCAACCTCCCTTTTTTAATAATCTAAATTCTCTCCCTGCAGCCCCCCGCCCCCACTCTTCACAAGAAAACAAATAAGAAATGAATGAAGTCGGTCAAGGGTAAGCTTTAAGCAGCTAATTTTATTTCTGAAATAGGTCTGCGTCAAATGCGTATGTCGTACACAGACCACTTTGTTGAGAATTTCGGTCTGCGTCATGTGCGTTCAGAAATCAAAATTTAGAACAATTTAGAACAATTTAGAACACCATTCAAAAATAATTTATTTAACAAGATCTTAAGTTTCAGATGGAAAAAAAAACAAATATAGAGAGAAAATTATGAAATTGTATTAATCTATTAGTTAAATGATAGGAATAGGCATTTAAGGAAAACTTTTGGCATATACGCGAGATTGAGTTCAAGATTGATGGACGTCTGAACATGCGTAAAATCTGTATCAAGGATTTTCATCAATATCCTAATATTGGTTTCAAATCAAGATTTGATTTTTCTAATCCTACTTTCAAGATCAAGAATTGGAGCCATATATATATATATATATATATATATATATACAAATATATATATATATAAATATATACAAATATTTCTTTTGTAATTCTATCTTAGTCTTTTTTCAAGGTTAGGGAATGCCCAGGTTCGGAGAGATAAGGAGAGGGAAACGGGTGGTCCATTTTTACGTACGTCATTTCTTTTCTAAACCTAGTAATTTTTGTTGGTCTTTTTATTTTGCTCATGCATTATTAGTTTTTAAATGTGTAGGGTAAAAGAAAAATCTGAAAGTTGATCTCAAAATATATCAAAGGTGATCTATCGTACATATTTTGTTATGCAAATTATTATTTTTTAAGAAGTGTGAATAAGATTGCGATAGAAAACTTGCAAACTGTCATAAAGGCGTAGTAAGGAAATACCACAGGTGCTCAGAATAATTGGAAGGTTTAATGTTCATCGAACTAAAAAGTTTAAATGTGCAAAAATAATGGGGTGTGAGAACATGATGAAATAGCCATGAACCAGGTGCTGGGGAACGAAAATTACAGTGTAAGTGTACTTTGGCGGATTTGTCGGGATTCCCAAAACGATCGAAAGAGTTCAATTCCCCTGGAGACCTTGACGCAACAATGGAACAACAGCGTAATCGATTAAAAACCATCTTTCAATAATACTGATCGGGTTAAAACACACTCACGGTGGAAATAAAGATTTAATTTAGATTTTTTCATTTTTATCCTTGATTTATCTAACAGTTTGATTTATCCCAAAACGTGATACAACCATTTCCTGGTCAATAAAGACAGCTAAAGCTTTATAATAAATGATATCAATTCTATTCCAATGGATTACGGGCCACAATCATTTATCGAGATCAAGACTTTAAAAAATCTAGATTTAAACGGAACGAAAACAAAAATATTCAAGTTTAAAGGTTGATTCTTTTCCGGGTCATCCTTCTACAAAGTACTAAGAGCTAAACTATTCATAATCTGACGCGAATTTTCCCAAATACTTTTTTAAAACTAAATTTAATATCGAGAATCTAAGTATTGAAATCTTCATATACTAACATCATTAAAACATGATTATGCAAATTTTCTTAAAACCAGGATTTAGTTGTGCAATTATTTTTGCGTACATTTTGCAAAACTAGGTTGTAAATTGCACAATCGAGCAACACGCGGTCCGTCTGGTAATATAGTTTGGGGCAATGTGTTAAACTGGTAAACCAAATAGATGTGAATAATCGTAGTGTAATTACAGACCAATCAAGGCAGAAAAGTTGCGCTTTAAACAGACGAAATATAGGAATTTACATTCTCACATAAATGTGAAATACGAAGCTGATAAGTTATTTTAAATAGTCAAATGAACATGGAACACTTAAAAATACTGATTTTTATGCTGCTGGTACTATCGGCTTTATTATTATTATTATTATCGGCAATTCAATGTCATTCTTCTTTTCCACAAAATTATAAACTTTTAGAAATAAGGTTACAAGACGATTAAAACAACATAGCAAATTTAGATGCTATTTTAATTCTTAAGTCTTAATCTTGTAATTAATTTGATTTATGAATATTTTTGAAGGAAGACATGTGGATTAAAGCAACACATCCATTCTAATTAAAGATGCTAACCTAAATGTAACAATGGAATGAAAAGAAGAGAAAAAACGAACATTTAAAGTTTTTTTTGTGTATTCAGTGTAAAACTGCAGGTATAAATAACTGTACTGTATGTACAGTAAACTGTACAGCATAGTTGTAGCGCATTTTCCTTTCTTTTAGAAACCAAGGGAACAAAAATCGTTTTTTTGCAAGTTAAGTCCAGAGCGCAAGCTTGTGCTGTATATTTGCAATCTTAAATAACATCAATAACTGTTGTTACAGGGTAACAGAGTTGAATTTCAACTTCATAAACATATTATTATATAATGCTACAGAATGCAGGTTTGCATAAAAACCATTTGAAATTAAATAGATTTAATCTTATTCTTGCTTCCGCCTGCTAAACCTCCTTTTGTTCTATTATTTACAGTGCAATTAGTTAGTATTCTTTGTATTCAAAATATTAACAAAAAATGTATTATTTCGCTTAACTAAATAATAAGCTAGATTATTATGAATGAGATTATATGGATAGGTTGTAATGAACGAACAGTTTTTCCAAATTAAAAAAACGATAGCTTTTTTTCTAAACGAATGTTTTTTTGTAAAAACTTTTGAAACAACGATAATTTTTTAACTGAAAAAATAACATTTTTTATGAAAGAACGTTTTTAATGAATGATTGTTCATTGAGAAAACGAACGATTATTTGGATAAAGAACGATATCAATTTTGTTTGAACGAAAGAAAAAAAACCCGAAATGGGTCCTTCAAGAACGATGCACGAACGAAATGAATAAAACCGAACGTGCCCATTTCTAGTTTTCCAGAAAAGGCAGCACGTTAATCAAGATCTCACTGTGTGTCGGATAATTTTATGACAAGGTTTCCCTACAAGGTTTGGTTGAAAGCAAGGATGCGTAAATACGCTCAATTATCCACAGCTCGCATATTTATCGTGACTTCCCCATTCTAACTTCAATTATAAATACCCCCCTTCCTTTCCTTGTGATTACCCCCTTCCTTTCCTTGTAACTACCCCCTTCCTTTCCTTGTAACTACCACCTTCCTTTCCTTGTAACTACCCCCTCCCTTTCCTTGTAACTACCCCCTTCTTTTCCTTGTGATTACCCCCTTCCTTTCCTTGTAACTACCACCTTCCTTTCCTTGTAACTACCACCTTCCTTTCCTTCTGACTACCAACTTCCTTTCCTTGTAACTATATCCTTCTTTTCCTTCTGACTACCAACTTCCTTTTCTTGTAACTATATCCTTCCTTTCCTTCTGACTACCAACTTCCTTTTCTTGTAACTATATCCTTCCTTTCCCTCTGACTACCAACTTCCTTTTCTTGTAACTATATCCTTCCTTTCCTTCTGACTACCCCCTTCTTTCCTTGTAACTATATCCTTCCTTTCCTTGTAACCAACCACCTTCCCTTCATTATCACTATCACCTTCTTTTCCTTGAACTACCCCCTCCTTTCCTTGTAACTATCTCCTTCCTTTCCTTGTAACCACCCCCTTTCTTTCCTTGTAACTATCTCCTTCCTTTCCTTGTAACCACCCCCTTCCTTTCCTTGTAACTATCTCACTATCTCCTTCCTTTCCTTGTAACTAACTCCTTCCTTTCCTTGTAACTAACTCCTTCCTTTCCTGTCTGCTAAATAAATAAT